CACTCAAATCACTGGTCCTGAAGGGATCATCTGTCCTGGTTTCCCTGTGTTTCCAGTTGCTATCTGTACCAGTGTATATCCTCTGGTCTAGCCGGATTTGTAATGTAGAATTGGGATCATGATAGTGGGGGCAGGAAACATTTAAGAACTAGAGGAAAGTTGTATGTTTCATCGTTGCTACATCACACCCTGACTGGCTCGGCTCGCCTCCTCCCAGAAATCCTTCTGTAAGGGGATGTCCAGTTGCCTACAGATGGGTTTTGAGTCTCCACTCTGCACTCCCCCTCATTCACAATGATATGATTTTTTTGTTCTTTGATACCCGATACCTGATCTCTTCGACACCTCGTGATCACATGAGCTGGTGTGCTTCTTCCATGTGGGCTTTGTTGCTTCTCAGCCAGATGGCCGCTTGTTTACCGAGATGGTAAATCTTTGTGGGAGTGGAAAGCCCCATCTTTCTACCACAGAGCGCCTGGTGGTTTTGAACAGCTGACCACCTTGCAGACCAGAGCCCTGCGAGTAGCCACCACAGCGGGGGGAGGGGTGTGACCGAAACATTGAAAATCCCACGTTCCAATCCCAGGCGGGCTCCGCCCAGCACTGGTTTTTATTGGCTGGGACTCAGCTTCCCCATCTTCTACTACATGGTGGAGAAAAGCGGGGCCTTCTGCTCCAGTAAAGAGTTACAGTCTTGAAAACGCACAGGGGCAGCTCTACCCTGCCCTACAGGGTGGCTATGAGGTGGCATCCACTTGATGGCGGTTGGCTTCTTGGATGCTATGTAGGATGGATTCTCGAGGCCGCCAACAATTAAAAAAAAAAAACCCACTGCCACAGAGCCCGCGTCATCGCCACCTCATCTTTTGCCTGAGATGGATTCAGATGTCAACTTTTTGGTTAGCATAGCAACGCTTAACCCAGCGTAGCACCAGCACCCCTGATGGGCCCAGGCCACGTGCTTTTCTGAGAATTCAGCATTCGGAGAGGGTCAGGGACTTGCCTAAGGTCACACGGTGGTCCTGCCGACCTAGCCCTTGACTCCTGACCTCTGAGGCCTGGCTGCCTAAGAAGGGCATCCTAGAAGGGACCGCATTGCCCCACCAGGACCTCTCTGCACCTAGTTTCCTATACAGACTCCCGGCCCCTCCTCTGGTCTCTGGCGCCCTCCTGTGGCCTGGAGGGCAGGACCGCCCCTCCTGTAGGCCCCGCCCCCTCCTGTAGGCCCCGCCCCCACGACCCGGACCCAGGATGCCTCAGCTGAGAACCTGGCAAGCTGGATCCAACCTTGCAACCCCCAGGGAACCGAGGCGGCGACGGCATCCCCAGGTTTGGGGGCTCCTGACTCCCCTTCCCCAACCCTACTCTTTCCCCGCGTGCCACGGATTGTGGGCGCAGCGAGGCTCAGGGCAGGAGGATCCAGGGACACCCCCGCC